AACTTATTTAAAGGTATTATCTTTGTCCCCATATCAGAAGGATTAACCTGAGTAGGAATTTTACCAATTTTCATAATTCCTTTTGATATAACATCTCTAATGAAATGATATTTAATGTCTATATGCTTAGTCCTATCATGAAACATATTATTTTTACTTAAATGTATGACACTTTGATTATCAGAATACAAAATTGCATTTTTATCAACAAAATCAAGTTCATTTAGCAATCTACTTAACAAAATCCCTTCTTTAACAGCATCAGAAGCAGCAATGTATTTTTCTTCAGTTGAGGATAGATCAACTACTTTTTGTAATTGAGATTTTCAGTTTACCGCGGTATCACAGAGAGTAACGAAATAAGCAGAAGTGGATTTTCTGTTATCTCTACTCCCAACAAAATTAGAATCAGAAAACCCCTTTAACATGATTCATATTTTGTCCATTTTAAACACAAGAACTAAATTTAAAGTACATTTCAAGTATCTTAAAAGCCATTTTAAAGTATTCCAGTGTTATTCACCTGGATTACTCATAAATCTACTAAGTAAACTAATACAATGAGCAATGTCAGGTCTTGTACTTACCATTAGATACATGACAGATCCAATAACATTTGCATATGGAATTTTAGACATTCTAGCAAACTCTTCATCAGTTTTAGGACAATATTCAGATGAAAGTTTAAAATGATTTGAAAGAGGTAAGGTAACAAGTTTATAGTCTAAAATGTTAAATCTTTTCAGAAGTTTTACCATATAATCATGTTGATGTAAAAATAACATTTCTCCTTATCTCTATTTCTTAAAATCTATATACCAAAGATCTTCTTAGCTGAACCAAGATCCTTCATATCAAATTTAGATTTTAGCTTCTGTTTGATATTATCAATTTCAGATTTATTATAGCTTGCAAGTAACATGTCATCAACATAAAGAACTAAGTACAAAGAACTTTTACCTTCTTTACCCTTATAGTAGAGACAAACATCATAATTGTTTCTTTGAAAACCATGTTTCAA